CCACACCATTGAATACACTCAGAGTCTATCACTGTGGTTTTATGTTATGTAGGGAACGAGCAAACCACAAGAAATTCCTGTCAAGGACCAGTTGTAATAACGTGTGCCTAACAAAAGGACCAGTGTGCCCCTCCCTTGCCATGACCCACCTGCTCTGGCACTGTCACCTGTGAGCACATGCTGCCAGAATACTTGCCACCAAAGCACTGTATTTTCTGAAGTTTTGTAGATTTAATGAGAACCTGTCCATGCAAATATAATAACTGGGCAGCATTTTACGTTGAAATGCGGCGAACACCAGTGACGTGTCCAACTATGTGCCTAAAAAGACTAAGTTCATCTACTGATTACCTAAATATTATGCCTTTGAGAGACATAATTACAGTCCCTCTACACATGTGATGGCTTAAATTTACTTCCACTTCATAATGTCTCATTAGTCCACCCACTTGTCACATAGACATCTAGAATAAGAAGAATAAAAAAGATAAATTTGACAATGACAATTTTAATACAGTCTTGGCCTTTCAATTAAAAGTGAATAGGTACAGAGAATGGAGATAATTACAGTACATCCCCTCCGGCACAAAGGCTCAGTAAAAAAAAAAAAAAAAAAAAGAAAAAAAAAAGAAAGCCCGACTCACATGCTGGCTTCTGCTTCGGCAAGCAGGCAGACCACAGGCTGCCAAAGGCCTTTTGTGGTATTGAGTCAGTGACAATAATTGAGGAGGTAAAAAAGGACCCTATGAGGTAGCAAAGTTTTCTTACAACTCCTGGTTCCCTGTATTTCACATACACACCAGTGATCTTTGCATTATCCTTCAGAGCTCTTGTACAATAGCATGGATATCACAGATTATGTATTAATACATAAAGGGATACATAGATTATTGATATATTAAAGGTTATGTGTTCATATTCTTTATGCCAAGCTTCAGACACAGCTTCTGAGACCAGAACAGCATAAAATTTCACCTAGTCAGTGCTGTATATTGAAAGCCTGAAGGGCTGACGGGGCTTTTTCAGGTTAGACCAATCCTGAATTACAATAAAGAATTGCAGCAATGGAATCATTCTCAGGCTTTGACAATTACAGGGGTAGAAGAGGAGGATAGATAAAACATCTACTTTTGTAGCTAACTGTAATAGTACCACTGATACTAAATGGAGAACTGTGAGTGGGAACAGGTGGAGGGGAGGCAAAAGTCAATACCCATTAATATAATATGCACTTTTTACTGTTTGAAAGTTTGGAATTGCAGTTATAATTTGGATTATTTATTTATTTATTGTCTTCTCAGAGATCTCACTGAATAGTTGTCATCCTTAAGTTGTAACGGTATGAAGTCATTTGAGATGATGTCATTTTAGAAGTGGCACTATTTTTGTCTGAGCTTTGTCATACGGGAGGTGTTGGTGGGTGAAAAGCTGGACATGAGCCAGCAATGTGCGCTCACAGCCCAGAAAGCTAGTCACAACCTGGGCTGCATCAAAAAAACAATGTGGCCAGCAGCTCAAGAGAGGTGATTCTGGTTCTCTGCTCTGCTCTGGCGAGACCCCACTTGCAGTGCTGTGTCCAGCTCTGGAGCCCTCAAAATAAAACGGACATGGACCTCTTGGACAGAGTCCAGAGGAAGACCACAAAGATGATCAGGGGCTGGAGCACCTCTCCTATGAGGATAGGCTAAGAGAGAGTTGGGGCTGTTCAGTCTGGAGAAGAGAAAGCTCTGGAGAGACCCAACAGCGGCCTTCCAGTACTGAAAGGGAGCCTACAAGAAACATGGGAACAGATTTTTTAGGAGGGCCCATGGCAATAGGACAAAGGGTAATGCTTTTAAACTAACACTAGGTAGATTCAGAGTAGATATGGGAAGAATTTTTTTACAACACAGGTGGTGAAACACTGGAGCAGGTTGCCCAGAGAGGTGGTGGAGGCCCCACCCCTGGAGACATTCAAGGTCAGGCTGGATGGGGCTCTGAGCAACCTGATCTAGTTACAGATGTCCCTGCTCACTGCAGGGGGGGTTGGACTATAGCACTTTTAAAAGTACCTTCCAATTCAAACTATGATCTTTATTTAGTGCTTGCACAATACACTACAAGCAGCCTAGGAAGGAATCCTGTTGTTTTTTGATATGACTAGGTAACAGGAACACGAACTGCTTTCTGCCAGTGGACTGGAGCTCTGTTTCACACCCATGGTCCCCAGTTTTTTAAGCTGGGGATCAAATACACCCCAAGGACACACTATCTGGGTATGTATAAAAGATTCACTTTGAAGAAAAACTTGCGCAAAAAAGATGAATCGCAAATAGTCTTTACCCTCTCAGAGAGAAGGTGTGGCGGAGGTAAATTCCACAACTATTTTGGAAGGAAATCAGATTCGTCCTAGGCTGCATTTGAAGGTTTTAATTATTTGAGCATCTTCCTGCAGTAGTTTGCATATTATACACCATAAATGCCAGATGGAGTTTACTGAACCACAGATGATTACACTTTACAAAGTTGTTTTTTTCCATTTGATCTCACTATTTAAATGTAAATAGGCAGGTAGGCTTTGAAAATTGGTGGCAAAAAGAGAGGAAGGAAAAAGAAAAAATTCAGCGCTGCCCTTGGCCATAGGAGATTCACATGTAACACTAGCTGGCAACACTGACATCCTGTGCACCCTGTTTTGTCCTAGCCACCCACAGATACAAGCCTCTGATGTACACTTCACTTTCCGGAAAGTGTGCTTCCTTCATAAAGCTGTATGCTACACCGCTGGATGATAAGCCAAGTTTTCCTTCCTCTACAACTTTCTCATCTAAATTAACTAGGACTCAAAGTATCTTCAGCTCTTATCATGAGTACACAAACTGCCATTACTAAATTACAGATTAGTTTGCATGACCACACGAATTTTGGAATACAAGAGTTGAACTTTGTAGCCTGGCAGAGGTATGTTTCTGAGCAGAATAACATTATAAAAGGGTGAGAGAATAAATAGAGACTTCTCTACCCAGAGAGGTATTAACAGAGAGGGCATGTATGAGAAACATGAGATAACTATGCTATGCTTGGTGCTGGGGACTAGTATCCTATTTTTGGGCATCACACTTAAGAAAAAAGTAGTTAAGTTGAAAACAATCTGAAGGAGACCAGCAAGAATAGTAAGTTTGGAAAAATTGCTTAGAAAATAAAAGAATGGAGGGATGCGTGTGAAGAGGACAGCAATCAATCTCCACGCACGTAAACAGTTGCTTTGAGGGGAAGATCAATCACCTGCCTGTGGGCAGCGGTGACAGGACACCAAGCAATTGCCTTAGCTTTCAAGTGTACATCCTGGGGGAGAGAGGTTAAATGTGAGACTAGATAAATACTGTATCTAAAACTGCTTACCTTGCGGTCAGTTACACCTGTCACTTTCACAGGCGTTTTTAAGAAGAGGTCAGGCAAGAATATTTGACAAGGCAATACACCTCTGGTTGAGCTACAGACAATTTTCTCTTGAGGAACTCTTACATTATATTAATATTTACTTATGAATGCTGCACCTACACTGAGCATGAAATTTGCTTTCTCTTACTAATGGCTCTTTATATTAACCATGAGAGATCTCCACAGACTGTTTTCTGAAGTGGCATATATTGCATATTTCTATCAACATGCCAAAGCTTATCAGAGGTCAAAGAAGGCACTGAAAGGTCAAGTAAAGAATAGAGTCTTTATGCCTGGTAAGTTATACAGGTATGATTGATAAATGTGTATCTATAAATGTATGTGTATATAATGTATATATAATGTGTAAGAAAACATAGGTTTTCTTTACTCATTTGTCACATGTTATTTTATTTCAATCAGGAAGAAGATAGCATGCAAACTACCACAATAATTGATTGCTCCTGTCAGTGACCAGGAATGAAGGAAATCCTAGAAAATCCACGTTAAGATTTTGCTGATACATTCTACTCTAATTTGATCTGTACAGTGAAGACGAGGCAATTACCAGGCATCACTGCAAACTATGCTTGACTAAGAAATTGGATATTAATGCCACTTTTTCTAAAGTTAGTAAAATCCACTTGCAATAGAATTAAAGTGAGCAACCAGACACTCCAGTGTAATATCTATATACACAAAGCTAAATGTATGCCTTCGGTGTTTACAGACTAAAACAGAAGTGTTAGTCAAGTCAGGACAGGAGGTGCAGCAAAGCTGTATGCAGAAGACACTGTAGTTTTTCTAACACTCTAAGCCAACAGTGTAGTTCCCAGGTAGCATTTCAGTCTGAATGAAACCCAGAAAAGAAACAAGCAACACACTACTACACTGTGGGCAGTCCCCTATCTAACAAAAGTTTCTCAATCTCAGGACAAAAAAATTAAAGGTAAGTCTCCTTGGTATCATTACATCTCCAAAAGACAGGTAGTACTTTGAATATATAAGAAGAAAGTAAGGTTTACTACCTTGTTAAGCAAGATTTCGTGTTTTTTTTTTCTACTCAGTTATGGGTGTAACAACCAGCATAACTGATACAGCCTTGTAGATGTGATATCAGTGTGCTCCAGTCAGACATGTCTCATCATATTAGAAGACACAAAAAGGTGAAAAAAAATACTGCTGGGTAGGAATTTTTTTAAATTTTTTAATCAGCAGAGTAACAAAACCTGTTCAAAGCATACAGGAAGTCTTACATTATTGTGTGCCAAACCAACTCAGGCCTTAATTGTGGTACTCACTCTTTTACATAGCCAGCAGAAAGAAACTAAGCCATGATTTTTGCACACTTTAAGAAAAATAATCTACCTACAGAAAACACTTTTTGCCTTTTATCTTCTTAGATACCTAATTAAAAAATAGCTGTGATGAGTTTTTGGTTTATTAAACATCTCTGGGCATGCAAGACTGGATGGCCTCTGCAACACAGAGTATAATCCTCAGAGGGTCCCTTAGATTTCAGTCTAACTTTGTCACAACCAATAACAACTTTAAAAGGATAAGTAAACACAGAAACTCACCCGTGTGGTATAAGCAGCTTCTGGGTCATCTTCCAGCACACGAGAGAGACCAAAATCTGAGACTTTGCAAACCAAGTTACTATTGATGAGGATATTACGAGCAGCTAGATCTCGATGGACGTAACCCATATCTGATAAATATTTCATGCCAGATGCGATCCCTCGAAGCATGCCTACTAGCTGGATGACTGTGAACTGGGCATCATGTTTCTGGAAAACATTTGAAATGTCATTTCAGAGATTGTTCATGTTCCTCCTTGCATAGAATTTTTGATAAAGACCCTGGAAGCACCTCAGGTGAGGAGCTTGTGAATCAGGGAACATGATTTAAATGCCACATGTGGAACTGCTTTGATCTGTGTAGGATAATCTCACAGCTGGTTGAGAGAAGATACAATACCCATCCTTGCTGTCAGCAGAATTTTAATTCCCTAAATGGGACCTGTGTGAAGGCAGCACGTGAGTCTAAGTCGCATGTGCTTATGAGACTGGAGTGTCAGGACATTAGGTAAACTCATGTCCAAATTCCCTGGAGGCCACAGGAATTGTTAGTGAAAATCCCAGTCTTACCCAATAGATTAATGAAAGTTTTCTATTACACTAGCGTTTATTTTTTTTAAACAAAAACAAATGCTGATCTGATTCAGTGGCTTTCAAATTCCATTAAATTTCAGTTCATTCCTTGAAATTTTGAACTTCAGTAACACACAATGTGACTTAGCCTAGAAACCAATAGCTGCATATACTTCTGTCTGCCTCTAGACACATGTTTTACATCTCCCAGCTCTTACTGATGTTGTTTTTTTAACATCTAGCTTTGATATTGATATATGGAATCACAGACGACAGGACAACAGTATGTCCTAGTGTAGCTCTCAAATGAATCCCGCAGTGCTGTAAATGTATCATCATGTGCAGCTCTCTGGCTCTTTCTGCTGCTTCTTCCAGAATTTTATTAAACACACTGGACATGGCTCTGCCAAGTGGAGTGAACTCACACAAATCAATCTGCAAGACTGATTGCATTCATTTAATTTATGATTAATATAATTAGGAGCAATATTAACACTGTAAAAATTAGACAAATATATAGCACAGTGGATGCTTAAAGAGCCTCTCGGAATTCCCTTTCATACAGAAATTCATTACTGCAGAAGACTTAGTAGTTTCCTGTTGTGAAACCTTCTTTAACTGGACCCAACACAAGAATTTCTGTATAGAACCTGGAAAAAATTTACCTAGAAATCATAAGAAGGTTACTAATCATGAAGGGAATAAGATGCTCATACAGCCTTTCAGTGGCAATGGGGAAGGCAAACTAACTAGTTTTAAAAGGCATTTATAATAGGGATTATATGCCTGTGATGAGTCAACGAGGTTCTTATCTGTGTTTCCACACAACGGTAGTAAAAATAAATAAATAAATCACACTGAAATGAATTAACAAGCTGAACAACTGTTTTGTAGAGTAAGAAATTATTCTCCTTTCCTCAGAGTTTTCTTCAAGGATTTTCAGCCTAAACAAAATATATATAGTTCAGTTCAGATATATTTCATTCAGATATACTGACACATTATTTATATGTATTTTACATGCTCCAGTGAACATCATAACATATATAGCACATACTGAAACTGAGGTTGACAATATATCCCCTTCTGGGGTTAAACATCTACTTCAGTGTTATGAGTTTGGGGGATAATGTCATTCAACCATGGCAGAACCAAAGCAGTCTCCCAGCCACGACTGAGTTTACCCTAACAAATTAAAATTAAACTAGTGTTTCCCCTCAGATGGGATTTCATTTCTGCTACACTTCTTGTTTTGCCACAAGTAAATCTTGGTGACACAGGGAGCGTTCAAATTTTTTTAGGCTTCCCTCCAAGTTTGACAGAAAACAAAGATAAATCAACAACAGTATTAGTATGTCTAAGGTTGGGGAAAGAAAACAGTCCAATAAAGTTTGCTAGTAAAACATTTCAAACACCCTCAGCTATGGAGTTATTCCCTAAACTTTTCATATTTAGGGAAATAGGTCTTGGCTCAGTACTACTGGTTTACTGATAAAATTTCCACAAATCCATTCACTTCAGAAATCTCTTGGTAAGACATACAACTGATACACATAACTGCATTGCAGTAGTAATTCAACCCTCAGAAAAACAATTTCCATTTTTGTGTGCCAGAATGTTGCTTTGGTTTGTGGTTTTTTTTTTACTGATGCAACAACAAAAACATTCTTTGTGTTGGGCTAATATACGCTGCAAGCAGCCCGAATGGACTAGCAGATCTTTACCTGGCTTTCCGAACACATCATCATGCACACAAACGCAAACAGAAATAAAATACCAATAAATAAGAGCTGATGATGAATCATAGTGCAGTGGTAGCACATTCATAACATATTCACAACAAGAGCCAGTCCTGCACCATGTAGTTCTCTATTGCACTCACCCGTAGGAAGCTGTCCAAGGAACCATTTTCCATATATTCAGTAACAATCATAACTGGTTTACCTGCAAATATATTACAAGGATCAGACACTTAAAATGAACACATAACAATCAGCAAACAGGCATTCTGAAATGTGCCCAAATCCCAAGGATAACTTCACATTTAGAAAGCAAAAAAAAAGATGCATGGGTAAAACTGGTTCTTTTCACAGCATAGTTGTGATTCCACTGACATCAACAGAAATACAGTCATTTCAGCATAAACTGAATTTTTAGCAGCTCAAGTCCCAGGACACAAAATGAAGCAAAGGAGTAGGTGTATTCTGCTGTGTATTTGCCCCTAGGCTGCCTCTGGAAGGGAACTGGGCACTTGCTGTGGAGGGAGTCACAGATTCTCTCCAAGGATGCCCTGGTGCGAGGACTGTGGAGCAGCGCTCTACCACATGGGCAGAGTCATTATGTCCCTCAGATACTACGGTGAGAGATTAAACAGCATACGTGGAGGAAATGGTGAAAAAACCACTCCCTTAGGAGGGTATTTACAATGCATTTAAATTGTAGAGCTTCAGTGTTTTCCTAGCATAAGCCAAGAAAAATGTTGAGGTGGAGACCAAGATGGAAAGGAAACAGCAGAATAAAACTAAGCCCGGGCACTAGAAAGAGAAGCGGAGCTGTAACACAGTCACTTCCCAGTGCTGGGTCAGCCCTCTGTCCAGGCAGTCCTGCCTCCCTCTGTGGTGGGATCACCGAAAACACGAACCTCCCCTCCTGCAAAGCAAAACTTAGCTGGGGGCTGGGCATGCTACATCCACAGGGCAGCAGCGGCATGCTCTAAAGAAACAGCCTTGCATTCGTGGAAAGCCTCTAAGATCTCTCCAAATGTATGCATGCAGATTCAGACCAGTTTGTGAAAGTGTTCTTTCTACCCTAAGGTATTTTGTAATGTCACCAAGGCTTTACATGCAACTCCAACATGTTGGAGAGAAATGAATGCAGAAATTAATGTCATTATGGTCAAGGTCCCAGACAAAGGTCATTGCCTTGCTAATATTTTTACCATCATATGGATTTTATTATTTCATAATATTTTCTAAACCTTTGTTTATTTTCTCTGCGGTAGAGAGAAAGGTGGGTCAGAGCATGAAGTTATTTAAGGAGATGAATTATTATTTCACATATAATACAGGAAGGCATCTGACCATAAAAGCATGACAAAGGCCTGCATATTGTATAGCAGACATGGTGATAACTTAGGTTTTAAAATTAAATAGCATGAGGCTTGAGTTACTCACTGCAATTAAAAGCAAAAAACCCATTAAAAAAGTAAATGGCAAAAGGTCCTTTTTTATGCATTTTTCAGAAAATACAACTTCTACCAAATAGAAATTCTTAGAAGAGAAATATTAATTTCCAAGAATGAATTTAATACAATGAGAAGAAAATCCTTTGTTCTCTTTGCATGGATTAACAGGTTAAAATATCTCCTTTCAGCTCTGCAAGTGACGTGTTATAGTGTGGAAGTCGCACTCATGGCAATCGACTCTGTTGTCCATTACCTAGTAGGAACAAACTTTTTATCCAAAACACTAACCTTGACTTATAAAGGATATGGTACAGAAAAAAGACTTACTAGAGCAAAAACTCCAAAAAAAAAAAAATCTGTTGCTTGCTTACTCTTGTAAGCAAGAAATATGAAGCGCAAATGGAAGAACCTAACTTACGCTGCGGGTGTTACATTAACGTAAAAGTATTTCTGGTAACACACAGAAAATGCTTTTGGATCTTTCAAGTAACGGCCAGCGCACCAGTCGGGCTACCCAAAACTTTCTATGATAAATCCACATACTTTGAAGCCAGGAGGCAGTTGTCTGGTTTCTGTACAAACTCAGTTTTATGAGACACCAGAAGACTGAAATCAGAGTAAGAAGACATGTCTTTCAAATTATTAAGAGAGTATCTTCCTGCTTTGCTCATCCATACTCAGAAAGCCCCAAGTGCAGGGTTTCACTCTCATTCAGCTGGAAACATATCCATAATAAGAAGCATATGCTCTGAAGCAACATGCTGCACTTCTTTTAAAAGAACATTCTGCATTCATTTATCAAAGCACAGCCGTTTATACATGATAACAACTTGTGTCAACAGTGTTGCTGAAATTTATTATATTAACAGGCTACAAATTGCTGTAAATTATTAGTAAACTAAGCAGAACATGTACACTGGTTATTAAGACTACTGCCTACAGCACGCCCAGGAGACCGGTGCAGCGGCAGGAATATGCAGAACTGAAATCAGTGTGAAACAGGGGAACAGGCCTGCCTGGGAGCAAAGGGCTGAAGTCTCATCTGCTGGGTGCAACGTCCTCATACTGCTGGTGGGTTGTCCCACAGGGAAACCAGAGCCACCCCAGACTGAGAACATCTCATACCAAATGGTCCTGTTATAGGGATCGCGCCAGCTGCAGTTATTAGGAGTCACCTCAGAAGATTTGTTTAGTATGAAAAGCTAGATCATTGCTAAGGGCCCCTTGTCAAAAAGAATCCGGTTGACAAAGAAAAGGTCACATCGCCTGTTTATCATGCATTACCTGTTCTGAGAGTGATTCAGCAAACACTCCACAGGGTCTCTATTGACTGTATATAGAAACTAATGCTTTTAAGTGTGATTTAACAGCTACCATTAAAAAATACGAACACTTGTTTATTTGTTGTTGCAGTGTATTCGTTTGTTTTAAAAAACCCCAAACACCACAACCTTCTTGTCCTTCTATCACTCTACAGAATGTTACAGAAAATAAGTTATTATCTTTACTTGCATTTATGCCATATAATTTTACCCAGTAAAATGGATGCAAATAGTTCCAGAGCAGTTTTCTCAGCTCCTGTATTCAAGGTATCTGGAGAGGCTGTTGTATCCCTGAGGCTTTTATTGACTTCAGATGGGAATATTCAGAGCTTGCTCTCTCATACCTAAATGTGATAGGTAGCTGGCACTTCCAACCCCCCCAAAATAGACCGCAGTCTGCTGTGAATATAGCTGAGTAGCAAACTTACTAATAGTCACTTACATGGAATACAGACAGAATTAGTAATGCACATTCGAAAGCATTGCACAAATTCCTGCATGCACAGCAATTAAATTATTTTCTCAAGTGCTGCAGGAATACAAAATGTAACAAAATAGATTTTAGCTCAGCTGCGTACAGACTGATGATGGCATTTCAAGTAATTTTGGGACTGCAAATCTTATTCTGACTGTACAAAGCGTGTCATTAAAAAGCAGGAGATAACTTGGATTCATACAGGCAGCCCTGGCAGCCCTTTCCTAATGGGACTGTGAGACCTAATATAAAGAATAACTTCTTTGTTATTTAAATCAGCAAAATAGACTTCCATGAATCACACCTAGGGAAAGCATTATTATCGTAATTATGTCTCTTCATAACGTATAGGGTTTAACATACCTGTCGCTAGTTATTTTTAGACACATGTTCCTGTCTTATTTCATGCAATTTGGTGCAGTAAGCTTTAAAATTCTTTCATACCTGTCTACATTTGTGAAATGTTGAATCATGCAATTTTAAAAAAATAAAATCCTTAAAATCAATAAAACCGTCTGTCTTGGGCTTGAGCTAAAACCCAGTCCTATTTAGGGATTTTTAGTTTCTAGCTCAGTCTCTTCTAAGAGGTTTCACTTTCTGATGTTAGCAGCATATTCTCACAGACAGTGCCTACTACTGGCAGTGATAACACCTGATCTTTACAGTTACTGCCTGGGACTGGGATGCAGAAAGGCTCTTGCTGATACTTATTCCTACAGTGACCAAGGCCACTGCTGGCTCTTGTGTGCCACACTGGGGGTGCCAGGTGGTCAGAGGGGTCACAAGGAAGTAACAGGTTGTACCTGCAGGGGGTAATAGACAGGATAGGTGACCAACGAGAGTATTCCATCCCATATATGTCATATTTAGTATAAAATGAGCGATCATGAGAGTTTCGGCCCTTTTTCCCTTTTCGCCCTTTTCTTCTTTGCACTTCTCTGCAATGGCCGGTGTCCAGAGAGGACTCCATCTGACCTCCTGTTTTTGATCCAGATCCTGACTTCTCGAACCCAGCTCCTGTATCCAGTTCCCCGCCGCCGCCGCTGAGCCTGGGGCTTCCCCAGTGCCTCCTGCTCTGCAGCATCAGTGGTGATTGTATCAGGGGAGGGAGTCGGGTTTGATATCGGGCTGTTATCTATAGTTGTATATAGTTCTTTACTTTTATCATTCCATTATTATTTCTATTATTGTTTCATTAAAGCTGTTCTAGTTTTTTTTTCTTCTCTAACCCGAAAGTCTCTCTGCTTCATCCCCTTTTCCTTCCCATCTGGGCGGGGAAGAGGGGGTTAGAGAGCGTCTGTCCGTGTTAGAGGCCGGCCCAGCCCTAACCCACAACACCATCTACTTAACAGGAAAGCATTTGGTATACTACTACCCAATTAAACTAGAAATGTCCTCAGCACATTCCAATCAGTTTACTGAAATGGCTAGGAGCTTCTTTGCTAGAAGAGTCCTCTAGAATGAACTAGGAAACATCCTACTCATTTTTTTCACTCCCTTGAAAAATCTCAGAGCATTCCTGATTTTTTTTTTTAAGAATACCTTATATAAAATCTTATTGATCTACATAATAACTATGGCAGGTAGAAAAATTTAGTCATAAAATTTATCACCTTATGCTGTAGTGGAAATCTAGAAAGCATAGCTGAAGTGTCTGGATTTATGTCTCACAGAACAAATCAGTTTTGGTCCTCCACATAGCCTCTCTTTTCTACTAAACCCTATCTCTGCCTTTCCACCTCAAGGTAGAGCACAACCAGCACCACAAGTAACGAGAGCCAGCACCAGCACCAAATCCCACCAGCTGCTCACAAGGAGAAGATCATGCAGGATCTGGGTGGCTTTGAGAAGGCCACCATGGCCATAGGAAAGCTGAGTAAGAGCTCTAAGACTGACACCACTGTTCAGGGATGTCTGTGACAACTTGTTGTTATCTTAATGAAAGAGCTGGAGAAGATTCTTCAAATGTTTTACCTTTCCAGGAAGGTTTCAATTATTTTTTGTCTCAAAAAGAGAAGGTCATTTTTTACTACAAACATAGAAAAAAATGCACTTTGCCAAAAAAATCCTGAAACACCCATAACAAACACCCAAAGGCGGATTTAGAAAATTTCTATTAGTAAAAAGATACAATTATCAAGGAAGTAAAATCGATTTTACTACTGACAGTGAGTGACAGCCCCAAGATTTCTTTTGAGATTTTTACTAAGGTATAAATTCTGGGGGATCAGGATCTTTAAAATGCCTCATACTAATACATACAGAATATCACATAAATATTTTCCCTCCATAAAAACCATATAGGAATAAGTTGAGGCTTATTTATTAATTTACTAATATCTGTTGCTGTAGCCAGGTAGGCTGTTCATTAATGTGTGCTAATGATGAAATCTAATGATCTAGTTGGAAGCAGAACATACTGCTTCAGCGCAATTAGGAAACCTCAGGACATCAGACTCCATGACTCCTAACAGATTATCAGCAAGTTCCTCTTGGCCACTTCGTATCAATTTGGAGTTCTGGAGTTTATTAAAATTGACAGTTTACTACTGAGATGCAGCGTTCTCCAGAAATGCTCCTTCTCCATGTTCCATAAACTTTATTCAAGCAGACTATTATTACTCCCCAATTTTTCCCAGCTCATCAACCCAGGGTACAGTTTCTAAGGTTTTGGCAGCCTGAGAACAGCAAGACAGTGAGGGTCCTGCAGCTGCACTCCAGACAGCTGCTGCCAACACAACATTCTTCATGGGATCCATCAGTGTGGGTGTAGCTGGTGCTTTTGAGGAAATACAATATACATTGCAAAAGCCAAGCTATGTGTTTCTGCTGTTATCTTTTTTGAAGGATATTTTGTACATACTGACAAGCATTTCTGGAAGGGTTTGCAGAAACATAGATGATCCATTTTTTTTTTATTTGCTTTTGCTGTTCCTTGAAAAATTAGCAAACCACAGAGTAATTTAGGTTGGAAGGGACTTCCAGTGACACTTCATAGGCAAAACTGATGCCCCCATCATATCTTACTTTTAGTGACGACTCCCTCTAATCGAATGATATTAGGGTGGTCAAACTGTCCCATGATGCTTGCTTCTCCCAGGAAGTCCCTCCTCTGTTTTTCTGTGTAGCCAACTTTCAGGGTTTTGATAGCCACTGAAATTTCCTTTTTAGAAGGCAGCTTTAGGCGTCCACTGCACACTTCTCCAAATTCTCCTGAAAAATGACAAAAGATGAAATGTAGTTACTTCATGGGGATTTAAGAAAGAAGACTTATTGTTCAGCAAAAGTCCCTGAAGCGTAATGTTTACTGGTGGGCCACAGACCTTATCCAAAGGAGGCCTGCAGACAACTACTTAACATTTCTATGATTGGGATCTCCAGCTGCCAAACTGGACAATGTCAGTTATTTACATTGCATATCCAGATGACTGCTGAGGAGAGGAATGCAAAAATGTCACCAGAAGATTTGCTTTGCACTCTGAGACAATAGTAGGAGGGCTAACTGATTAGTGCAGAAATATCAGAATAGTCATGCATCTTTGTGAACATTATATTCTTCATTTCTACCACACAGAGATAGTACAGTTACCAATTATTTCACTTATTTCAAATAAGTAGTAAGATAATTCATAACAAGAGAATTCATCTACACAGCTGCAAAGAAAAAACAAACCCATACAGATTATCTTTGTTCTATCATTATTCAGAGGGATATAATCATGCAGAACTATGCTATTGCTGGACCACTATGAACATTGTGCCCACTGTATGTTGTGTGAGATCCCTAAATAGAGAATGGCAGACATCACTGCATGCTTACTATTATAAAACGTGGTTTATCTTTTGCTATGTAACATCCAAGAAGAGTGCACAGGGAAAATTATCTCAGCATTCAAACAAGCATTAAATACGTCGACAAATTGCTAAAAGGAAACATCTCACTTGAAATTTTCTGTATTTAACTAACGATCACATTCCGCACATAAGGAAGTTTCAGTATCTTAGAAAGCATTTGATCAGCAACTGAATTCTGACTCTCATTTACCCAAATCCCCATCTTAGATTTCATACAATAAATTGTACATAAAACACCCCATTTAAAATAACAGTAGCAACTTTTTTTTTCTCCTTGTTTTAATGGCAAAATAATTGAAATCATGAAAAATATAAAAGAAAAAACAGAGAATGGATAAAATATACAAGAAATATGATGGCAATAATTGCCCTATATGATTATATATATTTAAAAGCAAGTAAGACACTTTACTGATCAGAAAGGAAAGGTGTTTCGTGCTTTTCTTTCTTTTCTTTCAAGAAACAACACAGGCTTATTCAGGTTCCTGTGTCAAAATACATGAGCTCTAAAGATAAATAGCCCCTCTAATGCCACATTTTGTCAAGTGGCCTTTTATGGAAATTTTGACTTGGAAATATACCAATCTTAAAAATCTAAATCTAGCTGGTATTTTTATGAAAACTGCAAATTTTGTTTTTATTTGTGAGGGAAACATCACAAGAAGAGTGATTACACTTCTTACATATCAGATTTTCCCAACTTAACGTGTAATAATCCTAAAAGCAATAGCATTATTACACCTCTAAAGAATAAAGGCTTTTGGGGCTCATCTGCCCACAATGATTCTTTTTCTTATTTCTGCAGCTGATTGTTTACATTAAGAAACATCTGTGAAAAGTGAAAAATTACCCAAATACACAGAAATAAGATATTTTTTATAGGCAAATTTAAATCATGTTTCTCTTCACAGATTTAGTGCTCATAAATGTGTGATGGATTGACAGCCTTTCACCATTGACTTCAGACATGATACCACGTGGGGCACATTTTAGATGTTAGATTCAGCCCATTTATCTGCAAACTGAAATTATTCTTTCACCAGCTTGACACCAGCCTAGCTGGCATTAGAGTCTATGTCCCATTTGTAGCACTGCAGTTCAGGAATGATGAAGGGAGTAGTAATAATAATAATAATAATAATGACGGGTATCATAAAAGTCAGGGCTGTGTGTTCACATTCAAAGATCAAGGAACTGCTGTTATTTATATACACAACAAGGAACGAGAAAAGGGAGACATGACGATAGTTTTGGCTTATCAAAATTTTGGTTATAAACAAGACGAACACCCACTCCCCTCTCTATATACAAGAGGCAAACCAAAGAATAGTCGCAAAGTACAACAAAGGTCAGTTAGGTCAGGAAAGTAATTCTAACAGTAAGAACACATGGACAGTACAAAACATTTTTTAGTGAGGTTATAATCTCTATTGGCGACTATAAAGAATAAGCGTCTGTCAAGAATGGCACCTAACAAGTTTTGTTTTGGGCAAGGGTGTGGACTAATGACCTCCTGAGGTCAGTTTTCAGCTTTGTTTTCTAAGGCTTTTCTGTCAGACAGCCAATTTAACCAAAAAACCTGAACAAATGTGTCATAGGGCAATGACCTTTCTCTGTTGCTAACCTAGGCTATATCTGAGTCAACAACATAGAAGGGAATGTCGCCATATCTTGCCATCATCCTCTAGGCATGGTACTGTGCTATTAATGTAATAACGAAAAGAAAATTTAAAAGAGCGTTTATCTTTATATAAAGATATACTACAGAAATAGCATTTCTATTACATCTATTGTTCCTAACATTAGCTGTATTTCATGCTGCCAAGACAGGCAGCAGCTCAGAAAATTAATTGTAAAACCTATTACTAGGAACTAATGGGTGTTGAGTTCTGTTCAGACTTCTTAATTAAAAATATTCAACTCTGCACGCCAAAATGACTACTGTACTTTACCAAGAGTAAACACTGCTTCATTTCCAATACTAATCCCAGCTCAATGCTGTCAGAGCACCACAAAGAGGAAGACCAAAGCACATCTTGAAAACAGAAGGAAGGGAAAAAATTGCTTGAAATAAATCTTGCAATGTCCAGCTTCATATTATTTTTTTCTCTATGTTTTAACACCCTAAAAAGCTATAACAAGCTAACCTCTTATAACTATTGTTCAGTTACTGTCAACAGAGACCATAGCTATGATTCCAGCAAGCAGTCCAGCAATCAATCCCTCCTTTCTGACTGGAATCATATATCTGATATTTGTTTGACTTTTGGGAAGGAAAAGGTTATGGTTAATGTCCGTCAACACAGTTCCATTTAGCCATGGCTGCACAATTTAGAACTTGGGTGATTAATCGGATTCCACAAGTGCAGTGAGGCCAGTGGATGCTGCAAGAGACTAAAAGTTAGACCCTTTTTATCAATGGAGCTTACTGCTGTCCATGTATATAAAATGGGTTTACCTTCTTGGAAAATGATTTTACTGGGCAGCCCAGCTACAGTAACCCGTGGTTCTTTCATAGGGGCAGTATGGATGCTACATAAGTCTAATACCCACAGTGCCATACAGCTACACTACATCTTTTTCCTGCAAACCATTTTTACACGGTCACAGTAATAAATGGACTGGATCTCACCAGATATGGTTTAGGAGGAACAAGATCTTGTGTTTGAGTTGGAAGGTGAAAAACTTGGCACTGATTTTAAGAGATGAGGTTGATAGCTTCTCATGTAAAGTCTTTCTGAAGTGTTTATTTTTAATTATGCTACACACATAAACTTTGTATAACTGGCATTGCAGACTGAAATGTGGAAAGCAAACAGATATTAGTAGGAGGGTTGTATATGGCCTCTCTTCAGATCTTAATTTATTTTGAAATAGGCTACTTAGTGCATCAGTGAATGGCATTTGCTGTGCATTTAGACCCAGGGGACAAGTAAAATATGATTCTGTTAAATTAGCTACTCCCTATACTTTGCTGTGTTTTAAATTGGGACTGTACTGCTGTGCACAGAGCTTCCTTGGAGTTGGAGAGGCACCTAACTGAATGTTTCATAAACCTCATGAGTTCATGAATAGGTAGCCCCTAAATTTTGGAAACACTTTGATCAACAAGACGTTATGCTACAAGGATGTTTAGACTTTGAAAGAAAAGCATATGCTTGCTTTCATATTCAGCAAGGCACACACTTAAATCTATCCCAAATCAAGAAACTACTTCCTACAGTATTCTCTTGCTAACCAACCAAATTTAAGGTTCGTAAGTGATTTGCTGAACTGGATCCATAAAAAGAAGTGAGTTGTTTTAAAACAAAGAATTACTGTAAAGAAAATCTGAGAAAGTGGCTCCTGACCTCAATTTTCTTATACTTAGCCTCCCATTAAAATCACATATGTTTTTCTTGAGGTTCTTTTGGACAAGAGTGTTTCCTTATTGCATTTGAGTGTGTTTTCAAAGCTATGTAACCTGCCTTCTATGCTCAGAGACTTCTGGCTAAAAATGAAAAACTACTTGAAAAAGTACCTCAGAAGATCAGGATTACTTGCCTGACTTGAAGGTCTCATTACCTATGATACAATTCAATGCAGTTAAATGAATCTCTTCTTCTCAAACCACTATCTTTTCATAATTTCATTCACACTTGCATATGTAAAGGAGAAGAGTAGGAAAAGACCAAGTCATTCACTCAAATAAGTCAATGACTCAAGTAAGAGACAGAAAATGCCTTTCTGCTTTTGGGGAGAACAGAAGTCTCCCTGCAGAAGCAGCCTCAGAGGCGCTCTTTGAATGCAAAAGGTGCCGTGCACTGAATATGACAGCAGTGTCAAGTGATGCTATGCATGTATTTTGAAAGCTCCAAGCACTCTACAGACTGATATTTTCATCTGTTCTTCCCGGCCTCGCTCTTCCTGTTGGCATGTCTTGCAGCTGCTAATAGAAAAAGCCATATGTAGTTTAGGCTATGTGAATCTGAGTCATGGTCTCTGACAAATGGCTTTATTGTACCCTGAGTCCAAGCTTCAATGCAGAGAACTTGCAGGAACCTACTCTTACTTTCACTGGAGCGGAACAAAGGGATCTATTTTTAAATGACCTGACTCTTTTTGAATATATCCCTTTTCTGAAGCACCTCAGAAAACTCTTCCTCCATTTTCAAAAGCCATACCTGGCAAATTTTTATTTACCTCCAATTCTTATGTGCATTCTGATTAAAAATAGGTCAGAACAATGAGATATAAAATACAACACATCATTGATTCTTATGAATTTGTTTTCTAGATTCATATACTAGATATAGCCCAAGTTTAGAAAGCTTACATTTGTGAATGAGGGCTCTTCAAAGTCTTATAAGGAAATATACTGCTCTTTAGCTTTTCAGTAACGCCCTTCTCTATCCCCATATCAATTCTCTATTTCTCTATTACGTGCAGCAAGCAAAGCTTTGCTGCCTTGATTGAAGATGATGGAGAACAGTGCACTCTTGTGGGGCAAAATTAAAACCAGCAAGGAACAAAAACTACCTTTGTAGGAAATAACCTAACTTCATACAAGCAGTTGAGTAGCTGCAGTAAGAGAGGATGAATACTTTTTCTTTTTACTGGGTGATTCAGGAGATGCACTGAGTACAGTAGCTTGGTTCTTCATTTTTTTCCAAATGAAAATCTGTTGTGCGCTAGAGTCTGTCTCTCTCACTTCTCATGATTTTATTTCAAAGAGTAAATTTAGAGAGAGGCAAAAAATCAATAATGAAAGAACTAGCAATTTTCAATGGATTAAAAATCAATACTACTTCTCACAAATGCTTTGATTTAGCAGGAAAGCTAACACTTCATGATCTTCTGTCTTGACGAGACAATCTGCCACTTCACTTCAAGGAGCAAGCACACATCCTATCAGGAACTACATGCTGCACTGCGACATCGACAACTCAGTGTGATGAGACTTTCTGTAATCTAGCTCCTCTGCTACAAAATCTGCTCAGTTCGAAAGTCTGCTTTCTGTAAACCAAACAATCTATGGCATCAGTATGGCTCAGACAATCAGTTATCAGACAGACAACCCGTTCGTCCTAAATCGATAATTCAAATCCAAAGCAGTGACCAAAATCAATCCAATGACCAAAGGTCATTGCAGCCTGATGAATGCGTGGTGACTGGTATGAAATGAGTTTGTGGTTTCACTCAAGGCATTATAGTCAGCAGTCCTTTTAAGGGAAAAAAAGAAAACATCTTCACAGTTGACACCATTTTCTGTGCTGACAGATTTTAAAGAGAAAGACGAAAATGCGGCTGAACTCTCTTTTCACTCCCAGTGGTGCCACATTCAAGTGTGGGCTGACAGGTGTCCTTTAAAAGATTGTTTTGCTACCTGCTTTCTTTGGAGAGAAAGATAAAACTGTGTGTCCTGACCTTGTCATATGGACCAAAGTCAGCTGTAAATATGACCTATTAATTTGAAGACTTCATAGTGTTTTCTTTCTGGTCACAAGTGTGAACTCAAAGACGTAAAACAGTATAGATAGCACAGTTAAATATATCTGATAATCTTTACCTGCTCCAACTACTTTATCGATGGATATATTAGAGGCATCTAATTCCTTGGCAAATTCATGCACAGCTTGATTGGGATCCTCATACGTATGTGGATCTACGTAAGTTCTCAGGCCTGGAAGTTTTACTGTGTAAAAACAAATTTTGAGAAAAAAACATTATTTAGACTTAATTACTCCTTCTAAAGAAAGCTCGTGAGACAATAGAAATCAAGAAGGAAAAGGTATACTGCTTCTTCAAAACACACTGCTTTTGGTGGATCTTCAGGAATCTTAATACAGAGTGAAAGCATAGACAAAGGTAGTTATTGCACAGAAGTCTGAAAACTGATTTTAAATTTATCCACAATAGCCATATTTAACTGCTTTTCAAATATTAAAATACTACGCACCCCTCCCATCTTGCCACATTTAGATGCTGCCTTATACTGTCCCTTTCAAGGTAGCAAGAAAGAGGCAAGGAACAAAACGTGTGATGCTACAAGACAACCTCAAATGTTCTTATGAATATATGAAGGAGCGCACATTTACTCAACTTTTTTCTTCCATGTCCTCCAACAAGATGCTTAAGAAAATAAAATTATACACGAAAAATTGCACTTCTGCCTTAATTCCTCTGCTAGTGCAAACAAGGATGGCAGTCAGTTGTTCTTACTGTTAGTCTGGTTCTAGTGCTCAGTTACCCTAACATCCATGATATTACTTTGTCCCCTTCTACAGTTTCCAAGCCAGAGATTGTTCTGTTCATCTGGGGCAAGCCCTGGTTCAAAAGACTGAATGATATTAAGGGCAATTTCAAGCGCTCTGTATCTCTTCCTCCTGCAGGACTGGGGGTGAGAGGAACATATTATCATTCCCAACCTTTCTCTCCAGCAAAGATGCTGAAGGCAAAGCATAGCCTCATTCTGCCTCCCCAGCTCAAGGCCCTGCTTGTGTCTAGTACCTTATGCGTCTCCCTCTGTATTCATTTTACAACACAAAGGTAGTTTGTCAACAAAAAAAAGAAATAACCATTATATCCAACTTGAAATTTTCTGCTTCTGACACAAAACCTGTGTTCCTGAACATGTATTCCAGCTTTTCCTAACTGTACCAGTTAGTCTCACAAAAGATATTAACTCCACTTACAAGCACTGCCTTAACCCACTCAAGAATATCCTTTCCAGCTCGGCATTATTATAGTGCATCAATTTGTTGACTGCTAGAATAGTTAAATCATTTTGCTGCCATTACACAGGTGGGAAAAAATACCTTTGTACCGTTAGTTAGAGCACTCTATTGTTTTGCCAAACAATCCCAAGTGTAAGTAAAAAAAAAAAAATCAATCAATTCTATGGAGATTTATTGGTCTCAGAATTGACAAAGAAATGATAAAACTCAGTTCCCAAGCTAATTGCCTCGAAAACAATGCAAACTAAGAGCCATGATCTTAACACAAGGGCTGCATGTGCACAACATTAAATGCTGACTGTGTTTCCTTCAAGAGCCTCATGATTACAGAATTACTTGCAAATAAAACAAAAAGTAATTGGCTGTATATTGCTGTTGGTTAAAAATCTTGTAAATGCTCCTTTCCGTCCATGCTGAATGTACATTACAGGCTCCTTCATACCCCCAGTAAAAATAACAACAATTAAAAGCTTCTGCACTGTGGGGTTTTGGGCTGCAAATTTTTAGTGCTGACCCCAGAGGTTCCCAAGATCAGGTGATGCTGACTGCAAGGAGAATAATCCCTTCACGCCAATAATTAAGGGCAGCCTGTATAGTAACTGGGTTCTGTCATGAAAAACAGATAATAAACACATGCACATGTGTTAAGCTGTACTACTTTACAGCTCATTCTGTGCAAACATAATAATTTACATTTTCATTTTAACAGCATGAATTGCCCTAAAGGTAGCAAAAAAATAAAAAGGGCCTAGCCAAAGAAGGCAAAGGGAGAGGATCTGAGGAGGTGAAGTATTTTTGCTCCTTTGAAGCAATATTATAGGATTTGTAATAAGGCTGCAGGGAATAGTTCATGGCTGGAGCCTTTTTTAAAGTAATTCAGAATAAACTGACTGAAATAAACCAGCTGCTGTATTTAAGATGCTGAAAGTTTATGACAGCCATGGAAGTTACTTTATCCTTTTTCAGTTCATAGCAGCAGTTTTGCTATTCTTTGAGAAAAGCTGTAATTTAATAGAAGAAAGTTTCAACAGCCACACACATACATACATACAAATCCTAACAGATTAATATCTGCAAAATCAATAAATCATTTTCAAGATTTTCTAACAGAATCAGCAGGACCATGATCAGATCTGTTCTTACTACACAGTGAATCAGCATGGCACTGCTCAGAAAACAGTACATAAATATCTAAAGCCAAATTAAAAGCAATTTAATCCACAGGAATTTAACAGCACTGGCATGTTTAAGAATAGTGATTGCAACTTTCCATTGTGTGGGAGTAGGGAGACCAAATCCTGACCTGTTATTTGTCTGTGACACTTTTTTTACTGGCTGCTTTTATTTTATAACCTCATTAAATTTGGATGATGAAGCATTAATTCTATGGGCCACATGTAACCGTATAGATTTTTTTGAGACAAGTTGGTTAGCAGCTGCTGGGCTGCACGAAGCAAGCCCACTGCTGGAGCTTGTGTATCCCCTGACAGAGCAGGGGAAGGAGCACGCATGTTGTGGATATGCACACTCATGGCTCTCTGGAGATAAGGAGGGACTCAAAATAATAATAACATGAACAGTCAGAGAACACTCACTCCATTGTCACGGGGATTTCCAACTACGGCAGGTAAATCCCTCGCTAAAATGTTAATTCAGTTATATTTGGTGGGGAGGCAGCTGATTATGGTACCAACAGCTCTCTTCTTGCAGATGGCACAGCACCACTGCCATGTGCAAAAAATCCACGTACATTGATCTTACAGCATGTTAAGCAATAGAAGTATATGGTTCAAAATGGTTTACATGATGTAGCAGAGTATTCATTAGGAACTGAAGCAAAGACAAATTACTGCTTCTTATTAAAAATAGGCTCATTAGACACCATGAATACTGTGGGTGGAAAAAAAAAAAGAATTTCCAGTCTTGGTGTTTATGAAGGGTGTTAACTTCACCCTGCAAGGATGAAAAAAGTCCAAAATGCAGTGATAAAAAACCAAGAATCCTCCCCGCTACTCCTGATCAGGAATGGTTAACTGTTCCCTTCCTTTCCCTTCAGTTTCTCCCGCTCCAAGACTAATTTATTTCTATTTTAATGAGGGTACGGATGCAGCTTCGACTGTGATCCAGTCTTCACAATCCACAGCTCCTCCGCTGTGGAAAAGTGCTGCAGGGTTATGTGTGCTGCAGAGAGGACCCAAGATGAGAGAGGAGCAGAAACAGAGCAGCACAACATTCCCCTCCAGCCACGGGCCATAGCAAGCTACTCCTTCCTGGTAGCCAGGGCATGTGCCTGGGCTCAGGGAATCAGCACCACTTCCCCTGAGCATCTCCTGGATGGGCTATTGCTCCACACTCTTCCTTTCACAGGGCACAGCCAGAAGACCCACAGCAGCCCTGAATAAAGTCTCAAAATAATTAAAAATAGATATGTAAACATCAGAAACAGATAGGCTCTGGGTTTGGTTTCTGAACGCATTTTAAAAGTAGCCCAGATTCCTCAGGATGAGCAAAATCTCACATCCTTAACTACACAGTTTTTGTCATGCAAAGGCAACATAAGTCAATAGAAAGGCTCTCTTCTTAGTCCTGGAAGAGAACCAAAAAAAAAGCATATATGCAAGCGGGGAATCAGGATATTGAACAAAACATATTTGTAAACAGAGCTGGATTAAAAAATCTCATTAATTTGTGAGACATTTGTTTAGCATTTATTTTTAATTTAAGAAACTACTCCAAATCACTTTTCAGCCTATGCTTAAAATAATTCCAAGCTAAATTATTGGTGAGTCAACTTTGTCAAACAGGCAACTTTCACAGTCCCTGCAGTAGTCATTAGGACAAGTTTCATTTATTTTCTATTTTGCTTTGGGAAAAAAAAAAGTAATTTCTTAGACTTTATACAGCTGATAATGAAGAAGTTGAAGTTACATTCTGCATTTCAGTAATGCACAACAGAATCGATACTATATTGGTAACCACACACACTGTTTGAACACAGAAGGCAATGTTTTTCTCATTACTAACCTGAACACAGATGAAAGAATGTGAAACAAAAAATAATTGTTTGGGGAAAATCTCCTTACCCATAAGAGAAGAGATAATTCTCTTTCCAATTTCACCTTGGTTTAAGTGAGGTATGATTTTTTTTTTTGCTTAAATTGAAAAATAAGTTATCTAGGGGATGAATTCAACAGATCTGGAAACATTAAAAGGCTTCAGTCACTTACAGTGGCCATTCCCAAAATGTAGTCTTTTCTCATCAGTGCCATGCTTAGACTTCTTGTATCCACAGAACCTACAAAGCAGCAGAAAAAAAAATTAATATTGAGAATTTTATACGTTAACTGCAGGTGGAAACAGAATAAAAAGTTTTCCCTCCACAATTAAATGCCTGTTTGAAAGTTTAATGATATTTACATTCTCTGTGCCCTATAGAGGCATGTTATGTTCTCAGGGAATTTGAGGAAATTGGCTAATGAGAGGATTTGTTGATTTTTGACCCCTACAGTTTAATTTTACAATTGCCTAAGAATGTGTTTATAGCATTTTTTAACAACTGCTGCACGACTGGGGCTGCTAACGTGAGCAGGCTCATTACTGAGCAGTGTTTGGAGCTCCTGGGCAGCAGACAAAGGAGAAGGAGCAAACCAGCCACACTACTGGTGCCTGACGACACTCAATTTTCCAGGCTCATCAAAGTCCCTCAGGGAAATGGAAGCAGGAGTAAAGGTGCAAACCAGATGACAAACTAACCTCCCAATCAAGATGTACACCACAACTGTGAGGAGAATAATTGCAACCGCTGCTGAAATGGCAATCATTACCACCTGGCTATTCTCACTGGAAATGGAGAATGCTGGAAAGTTAACACAAAAATATATAAATAAGTCCCTCCACACATAACTCTCATTAAATCACAGTTGACACTCATAGAAGGAACCGACAGATTGAGTCATTGGTGTATACCATTTGGTCCCATGCCACATATTTAATCTGCTAAGTAATTTTTCAACAGATAAATAAATACAAGGAAAGAAAACAAAACGCTCTGGCCATCTTTGACAATTTACCAAAATTGTTTCTGATACTGCTGGTTTTTTTTCTCTTATTGTTAAACTGATACTTATATATATAAACACATATGAAATACAAACACGTATTATGACTTACGTATATTTTGTCATGGTCAGTAAGGAATTTTTCCTTGGCAAGAAATCTGAGACAGTCAATAATCATCACTCTTACTTGCAATTCAGTATGATGGAAAACACTTTAACGAATTAAGCTTCTCTGTATCCCCAAGAAGGCTGTGAAAAGCCAGGGCACACAGATGCAGATAGATGGACTATCCATGGTTAATCAATGACTATAGGAAATCGAAGGGCTATTTTCTGTCTTATGTTGGATGCTTCCCTGTGGACCCTAAGTATGCAACTTTGGTGCATTAGACTGCTACACAATGACAGGACACCTTTAGACCTTAGGTGTTACAAGAAATCTTCAGCAGACGCCTACCAATCTTCACTGAGCATAGCAGAATTAGGCTGCTCAGCACTACGCTTCACGTTAGCTGTCCAAACCGAGCGAGAGCTGGCACTATTGGTCTCCACAAATTAGGCTGTTTGTGTACATGACTGCTTAGAGTCACACTATTCCTCTGGGGAAGAAGCCTCCACCTATTAGACCTACCTTATAGATACGGTAACTTGGCAATAGTAACAAAGTTATGTGATTAGCTGTTTGTGTGTGTAACTTAGTCATTAGAGAGATGTGCACCACTGTCTCTGGTGGCCTTCCACGTTTTCGGACAGCTACCTCTTCCTTTTTTTAACATTACTTTTGCTGACAAAACTCATTAACCTCTAAATAACAAAATTTTTTATCACTGCAACTGATTTTTTTTTTTATCCTTCCTGCACTTGTTTGTCCTATCCTGAGCTCCAGTTTCATCCAGTATGCCAAAGTGGCATATCATCATAACAGCAATTTTTAACCACTTTTTTAAAACAGAAGATTTTCTGCTTTTCAGAATAAGAGCTGAGCTGGGGGAGGAAGAAGTGGGGATGAAATACATATCTCAAAACCACATGGATGCCAAGTGAAAGACCATTTGGCTTGATGCTACTCTTCTTGGTTAAAATTTCATTGCTTTTAGCAGAGCACTTTTTACAATGTGGGTTCTCGAGCCTTATCATGAGTACATGAATACACTTTATGAGAGTGTATCAGAGTCATAGTCCTTAGCTGTGTCACATCTCTGACCAGCAGACACGAGTTTTCTATGAAAGTCTGACCTTCTAAAAAGCAAAGTCTTTGATTATGCATTATCAGTCTACATTGGGTACCTAAGCAAAGGCTGACTTTTTTACACATTAAGCCACTTTCAACTCTCACTAAAGAGGTCTGATGTACTATATGGTACCAAGCGATGAGAAAGTAACATTTAAGACTATGAACTTTATTAAGAGTCTTTCTGATATAACAAATGAACTTGGACAAAATACCTATAAGGTCATCAGTTAAATAATGTTATTATCTAGGAGTCAGAGAAAAGAAAAAGGAGTGCTAGACCAGCAAATAACTTCCACAAGGCCATCCTGAAATGTAGTGATAGAGAGGAGAAGGGATCCAAATAGCCCTGCTTCCCGACCAGCTGAATAATCATCCTTCAGGCCTGTGCACATTAGTTTCATCTCATGGCTACACAGAAGACATCAGCAATGTTCTGCAGTAGCATAGATAATTACACACTGACCCACAGCAGTAACGGACCAATATAAAATCACTTCTCTAGGAGAAGGGGTTTATAGTCCATATTGTTCAGGCCACAAACTTGGAATGAGTGCAAGGCTGTGAATCTGTTTTCCTATCAAACTTTCTCCCTTGGCAGGAGCCCTGGTCCCTTGGTAGGACCCAAGTATCGATTCTGGCACGAGGCAGGGGTCAGGAAGGGAATGGAAGAAAATAGCACCTGTGATAGTCATGATATACTCTTCATAGCATGTTTCAAGTTTAATGATAAAATATAAAGTTATATAGTAAAGCTACCCAGAAAGACACATCATAAATAGTTCTAAGTCGCATTTACTAAACTAGAGAAGGAGTGAAAGCAGCCATTCAAAATTGTCAGAAACTGGGCAGGATGTCAATATAAACCATTTGAACAAATACATACAATCTGGGCTGGTTTCGAATTCAAACTTGCGGCTGTTTGTCCCATATCCAGCTGCAGTTCGGGCTCGAATTTGGAAGACATAGGTGGTATCAGGTTTGAGGCCGCTGATGGTAACATTGGTGCCTTTGGCTCTCAGAATAGTATAGCTTGTCTCTTGTTCCTGCTTTTGGGAAGAGAAATTATCAGATTAAAACCACATCCTAAAAAACAGAAACAAGAGGTGGTTGGTACAAAATTACTACAAATCACCTGGACAGCGCCAACATCATTTTTTCATATTTATAGCTTGACAAATGGTTGTACAGCCATTCATTTTCAATCAGCTAAAAATATTTTGATTAGCAAGAAATCTAAATCATTAGAGCTTCTACAGCCTTGTGCTTTAAATCAAACACTAGGCATGCTGAGCATATGACATTTCATTAAATGGCTTTGCATCATTTTGCCTTTAGTCTGTAATATAACAAGAAAATGAAGATTAAAATGTTATTTAAGAACCTCAAAACAGACTTGCCTACTGCACTGAAGCTGTAACAGGTCAACTTAGACATTTTAGGGCCCTGCAGAGCTATAGCAGGATGCAGTTTTTACAGCCTGACGTTTTACAAGACAGTGTTTACCTTTATAACAGTCAGAAAAGAAACTCCACTCAGGCTCCTCACCTCACCTCTGCGAGCAGGTTTCCTATTATGCTATAAAAACTATGAGATCGATGCATCCATCAAACCCCACTGAACTTGGTCCTCAGTGAGTCTTGGGCTTTAGTAGCCAGAAAGGAAACGTGCATTTGCTCCTTACTACTTCTTGCTAAAGAGCAAGTGTGTGTGCCCAGTACACATGATACCCTCACAGCCACACTCTGCTTAATAGTCACGTATTTCTGACATAGCGACTTTTTATATAAAATAAGAAATGGACCATTTTGTAATTTAGTGCGTTTGGATATGTTTCATACTGTGTAAAAAGCTAATTCTGATAAAAGTATGTCTCAGTCCCACTGTAAGCACATAGTCTAAAAACCTCAGCATGCATTTGGAGCCTGAGGTATAGCTTATTTTACTAAAGCCATCCTGTACCAAAAAAGCATTTTTTGCTTCCTAAAAATGGCATCTGGAACTGCCTCAGAAAACGCTCTGGACAGCAGCCACACATGTGGGGAACTGTGAGAATCTCATTTGTTTGAGTTCCCAACCACAAACTTTTTTACTCTGGAGGTGCTGGGGATTTCATATGCTGCCCTTTTACTTTGAAAACTCCGAAAGATAATTGAGTTTTGCCTAGCTGAAAAGAGAAAATGAGTTAATGTGTCGGATGTAAACAACCTCACCTAATTCCCACTACATTTTATGGCATTGCATTAACTTGCAAAGTACTGACATTTTAATTTCGACAACACTAGAGTGCCGACGCACAAGTACAGAGGTTTGAAAACACTCAGTATACCCATCATCAAAGACCTTCACATGAAAAGTTCAAGTAACTGCATTTGTTTTAGTGTGTTTGCTCTAGGGTTTGTCTAGAGTAAGAAAGCCAGGTTTATTCTAAGTTAGAAGTTTCTGAGAAACTGTTCACTTTGGTGCTACAGAAGCCTAACTACCCTGTTCTTGGCAGTCTTTCATGTAAAGAGAAACAGAAATATTTACACCATAGTTAGGGAAATTGCCAGAATTCCCACATAACATTTAATGTTATGCACATGAGTAATCACATTGAAGGAAAAAAGAAAAGAAAGAAAAATCAGCTAAGCCTGTGCCTACAAATTAACATTCAGAACCAAAAGCTCAGATAGGGTGAGCTGGACCTAATCTTCTAAGAATGAGTATAAAAACGTTTACCATGGCCCATTATCTTCGCACACTAAAAATAAAAAGGAAATCAGCATTGGATGTCCTCATAGTTTCATGACACTTCTCTGAAAAAGTTTTATGTTACAAGTTCAGGGAAGAAACTTTACATAAAGACATTCTAAGGAGCTAACAGGTTTGCCTAAAATTATTTATATTTGAAGTAACAAAGGGCTAGTATTAGAACTTGCAGGCTTTCCTTATCTCTTCATTCAGTTGAATGTAGGGAACTATTCTAATTTCAAAGACATAATAATCTTGTCTTTAAAACATAAAATCTTTTGTGTATGCTACGACTGGACATTCATTTTGATCTCACTTCAGGCTGCTTTTATGAAATGCAAACATTTCCTTCTTGTGCAGATACATACGTGCAAAGGAAAACATAGTCATGGCCCTGTCTGTTAATTATCCTCCACAGAACTTGGAAAATAAACGTTTAAAACAATGGTATGGACGATGTCATGGTATCTTAGTTTATGGTAAGCTTTTCTACACACGTATTTTGTAAGTCATTTTTTATGTTACTAGTAATCAAATCAGCGAAACACCACATAAAAGCCCAAGTTTATCTTTCTTGAGGATGAAGCAAAACTTCAGAGATATAGCACTATAGCTGCCATAAGCAGAAGGACTCTACAAAAAAGGAAGACTCAGTCTTTGCCAAATAGAACTTTAATCAAACACTCCGTTTGATGATAAATTTGAACTTGGATGTACAAAGCTCATTCTTCCTGAATATTTTTGCATAGTTTACCAGATACAGTCTTTACTGGAAGCAATCCCATTACCATGTGTCTAATTTGCAAATTAGATTTTATAATTTTAAACTAAAATTTTAAACTAAATTTTAAACAAAATACATAATTTGGATACATTTAAAATTTATAGCAGCAGTACTAGCTAGAGTGAACGGTATGTCCTTTTGCAGATAAGTAAGTGTTTATATTATATGAGGAGGAACACTTTCTCCATCAGCTGCATGTACACTTGAGAGGCCAAAACCAGACTATCTATCTTCAGGAGGAATCCAGAGTCCCAGTTTTGCCTCCCCTTACTGCCAGGTGTGAACTGCTCATTGACATGACAGTTCCTACAAACATCACGGAATCTATGTTGCCACCCACCCTCGGAGCCAGAATTAAAAGAGTTTAAAAGCTACTACGTGCATTTGCATATAATTTATTTTTCAGCTACAGAAAGAGTACAAACTAGATATTATTTATTTGTTGGCTTTAACCAGTCCACCGAGCACACAATTTCAATGATTGCAAAGGCAAATCTATTACTGCAATGTGAGACTGCAATTAAATTTCACTCATTGTTTGCAGCAGACTTACCCTTAATAAAATGAATGGGATTTAGTTATCATATTTTAAGCCACATTTACAAATGAAGCAATTACTAGTTTATGTGTGGTATTTAAGAGACTGCTCTTTTTTTTTTTGTCTGAAAACATACGCTTTCCAGAGAACATAATTATCTGAGCAAAGATGAAGAGAAAACAAAGTATCTGCTTGTGTAAGAAAAGAAAAAGACATTTGTTATGTGTGCACTTTGACGGCCGAGACTGTTAAAATATAGCACATTACATGGATGGAATAAACTGCGGTGTCACTCAGTACCATTAACATAAAATGTTATGCCCCGGCATAAAACAAATGCCTAGAAGTTTCATATGATACTTCTCTGAAAGAGGATTTTATTTCTTTAAAATGTTTCGAATAAATAGTAACTTACACCTCAGAACCACGCCCTATAGATTTTTACACAAAATACAACTGTGCTCCAAACAGCGAGTCTGAAAAACAGTCACTCTCGACTCATGTTATGCATTGAGACCCCACAAGTTCATTCTGAAAACTTAAAACGGTGTTGCAAAACTATAGCCCCTCATTTCTCTAGAGACATCACATAAAGCTATGTTGCCTCTTGGTTATACAAGTAAAATCACTGGTGAAAAAGCCCTGAATACGTTAATTATCTACCCTTGCAGAAAATAAGTATTTTCCACATACTATCGTAATTTAGATACAGAATATTCCATTTCTTATTAAAAATCTGTTTTAACATCCTGAATATCAGTAATATGCAGTTGCCCATAAATATAATGTATTCTGTGAAATTTAAGAACAACTTAAGGAAAAAAACAAACTCGCACATTTGCATGGATAAGGTGTATGACAGTATTGGGCTGACCTGTATTACTCTATTAGCGCTGTATTTCATTAAATTTCTAACAGATTAGAAAAGGTATGACGAGCAAAAACAAGCAGGAGGGAAAAGAATGGCTCACCATAACTCATCTACCAGCAATCCGGTATGACCTGTCAGGAGAAACACCCAGACTGCTAACTGGGAAAGGTTTGTTTCCTAGCAGCTGCCACTCAACAGTAGTGGGTTTTTTGATGAGCAAAAACAAGATGATTTCTGAAGCAGAAAATCAAGTGGACCCAACCAGTTTAAAAAGAAAGCTCTCCTTTCAAAAGAAGAGAGAAGTGGAGCTGCTTAGAGATCTCAGACTGAAAAGCAGCACCTTCCAAATGTGTTTGGAGAAGAAATGAAGAGTAGCAGTCCAGCATGGGCTGCCCTGACCTGAGGCAAGTTTAACATGTACATAGTAGTAGTTTTCAACGTTTTTCAATCTGCAGACCTAAAAAGGGCAATGGATTCCAGTCTCCTGACAACGGATTTGCCTTTCTTAGTTACCTTTCATAAACCCTGAGGAACAGGTTTCTGAATCCCCAAGGGGTTGCAGACCACATGTTAAAAACATTGATGTCAGAAAGTTGCTTTTAAAAAACCCTTTGCTTTAAATGGTTTGGCTCCTATTGTCAAGCAGTTGGCTCTTTGGTTTAAAAAAAAGCTGTCTGGTGCATATGAACACTTGATCACAAACTTCAAAGGAAGAAACACATGTGCAAGAACAGCCTCATAAGACTGGTTGTCTTATGAAGCTGTCTTATGACAACCAATTGCTGCATAGGACTGGATATACTCAGTGGGAATAGCAGCTGCATGCTCAGTCTGTGCATACAACAGTACTGGAAAGTGAATATTTTTTTGCGTAAATCAAGCCAATTTGAGCATCGAATGATGATGAAAATACCATTAAAAAAAACCCAAATACACAAGTAAAACTTCTCGGTCACTCAATTAAAATGAACTAAATCCACACAATGGGAAAAATTCTCTCCCCTTGGAGCAATTAAACCCAGAGAGATTGCCCTAATGCCACAATGCACAACACAGCCACATGTTAAACCCTGCACCCTGCAGTACTTGTGTAGAGACCCCAGCAAGGACTTCCACCTGGGAAGACTGGAGGTGGAGCTGATCCAGGGCTGCCACAACTCTTAGAAAACAGAAGGATAGCCAATGGCAGCAAGAGCAGACAGGTAGGTCTCAAATGCAGCACAAGCTAATCACAGAATCAGCAAACGGATTGGGTTGGAAGGAGCCTTAAATATCATCTAGTTCCAACTTCCCTGAGATGGGCAGGGACACCTCCTGCTAGACCAGATTTCTGTAAGCCCCATCCAGCCTGGCACCAGGGAGGCTGCTTCCACAGATTCTCTGGGCAACCTGATCCAGAGCCTCACCACCTTCACAGTAAAGAATTTCCTCCTAATGTCTCATCTAAATCTACCCGCTTTCAGTTTGAAACCATTACCCCTTGGCCTAATCGCTACACTCCCTGATAAAGAGACCCTCCCCTTCTTTCCTGTAGGCCCCCTTTAAGTATTAGAAGGCCACTAAAAGTCTCCCTGGAGCCTTCTCTTCTCCAGGCCAAAAAAAACCCCACTCTCTCAGCCTGTCCTCATAGTGGAGGTGCCCTCTGGTAATTTTTGTGGCCCTCCTCTGGACCTGCTCCAACAGGTCCATGACCTTCTTGTGTTGAGGATCCCAGAGCTGAGCACAGTCCTCCAGGTGGGGGTCAGATAAATACCCTAGCCTGTGCAAAACGAGATGAGGTTTTGGGATATTTCAGGCATAGGCTCTTTACAAGGTAAATAGCTCTTCCAAGACTTACTAAAAAGCACTATCTATTTTATTTTCTTTAAAAATTTGGAAATAAGAGAGCTTAAATAATTCCTGCATCCCTTCACTGCTCAGGATGTACAATTAAAGACAGTCTGACTTCTGAGCCAATTCACTTTCACTTGTCAAGCCCAGGATCCTGACTTGATCCTGTCCCCATTGAAATAATGGGAAAATATCCATATGAAAGTCTATATGCTACTGCTGCTCTGTAGGGTGAGACTGAACTGAAATGTTTAGGAAGCTTGCTTTTTTTTTTTTTCTTTTTTTTTTCTTTTATGAGAAGTCCCTTGTATGTTCAGCTTTTTACCAAGGTCTTTGAAGGGTCAAGTGCTCACAAAGCCCACCCCCTCCTCTCCTCAAATAATTAAATGACATTAATTTGTGAGACCTCTTTTCAAAATAGGGCCTTCCAATCCCCATCCTTCAGCTGGAGATCAGGTATAGACTATCATACCACACTGGGCACTGGTAAGCTCCATGAGAAAACTTCATAAAGATTAACTGACTACCCATGGAGTCTTTTTGACAGCATTTTCTAAGGGGATAATGACACTAGTCTTCCCTGGTACATGTGAAATACAAGCTTAATTTCTAGATATGAACAGCATTAGTAAACGCTAAATTAAATCATTATTTCTGACATGTCAGAAATAGTTCTGGTGTGTCTTGTCAACTTCAGCAGCATCAAAAGATTTCCCTGACCAATCTAAAAAGGGCCAATACCAGTAAGATTTACTAGAAAATATCCATTCTGTTATGAATATTTATTTTTTCCTAAATATTGATCTACATATGCTGTAGAAATCAGCAGCTGTAAATATAAGAAAATGTCAATATAAAGCAGAACCTACTGAATGGTGACAGTTATTTACACAACATATATGAAGAATTCAGTTATTGATGAAAAGTGGGAACTTTCACAGTGCATAGCAGTCACTAAAAGGATTGCCCATCTCTTCCAAATCATTTTTGTGTAAATGATGCTTGCACCACAGGGAGCACCAACATATGGATGCTAACAAATGTATGAACACTGACAGCATAACAGAACTGAGTAAGTAAACTGTATTCGAGATAAAACAGGTATTACAGCTTGTCTGCATTACTTTCTGTATTTGTTCTGATGTGTTTGAGGATGAACTTGGTAGACAACACAAGAATTTCATTTCATATTTTCATGATGTTCTCTTATCAAAAATTGAACAGTTTCAACACTTGGTGTCACTGAGGCAGAGAGTGAGTGAACAGGGATGTCTCTGAACACTTAACACAGGCAAGATGCAATAATTTCATTACAATATTACCAATACACACACCCCCCTTCAATTTTCCTTCCCACCTTTTCATAGTATTTGACCTCATAGTCCAAGATGATCCCATTTGGATGTTCAGGTTCTTGCCAAGACAGAGACACGCTGTTCCTGGATGTCCTGTCTTTCCTTATGACTGTGATGGGGGATGGAGCTGTAAAGGGGATGGGGGAAGGAGGGAAGAGAGAAAAGCAAACTGAGTTATCTCTGTTCCAATCCCTGGCAAAAAGTCTTGTATCCATTTAAAAAGACACACGAGCATAGGTCTGGACTTATATCAACATTCAGCAGCTGGATTATAGTCCTAGTACAGATGCCTTAAAGCATACTGGCCTCAAGGAAAATGAACTGAGATTTTCTGTTAGACCGGCGGACCAGTGGCAAGACAGCAGATGGTTTCGATCTGCTACTATAGTGTAAGCAATGAAATTCATTTGATATACTAAAAGAGAGAACAAAATAACAGCACTACCTATTTGTTATAATCCTGAAGTCTTATCGTTACCAGAATCTGCAGAAATTTGATAACGTTTTCATATGCAAGTGTAAAATGGTGCTGGGATGCATTACATACAAGGAGCTCCTGGCATCCAAGGCTAGTAACAACCATCAGCATAGTGCAGAATACAGCCTCTTTTATAAAATGATTTGGTAAGCTCTCCAGATATAAATTGCTTCCATATATGCTTTTCCTTTACCACATTTCTTTGAAAATGAATTTTTAAGAAAAAAATCAAAACTGAAAAATAACCTCATTTCTGATCTGAATTAATCAGTTAGGCATGATGATTGTATGCCAGACTCACTCACTACCAAGAAACTGGAAGTACTATCAATGCTGCAGAAAAAAACCCCACTATAATTACCTAAGATTCTTGAACATCAGTTCAACCTTAGACCACCCAGCTCTACCTGTTGTTCCAAGACCAGGCCTGGGTTTCCTGGACTAACTGAAAGCTATGCAATTTTTTAAGTATTTTTTTTTTCTGTTTCTTTTGGGTTGGCTTACCACTTCAAATGCTTCTCTTCCATGGCTTTGGCCAAAAATTCATCAGATGATAGCTTACAGATCACACATTAAAGGTTGTAACTGTCATTTAAAAAAAAAATCTTTTTACCAATAAATAGTCTTTTATCTTAGCAAGTAAAACAAATGTGTTTATAAGTTCAACATTGTGCTATCCTAATAAAAAGGCTCTAGCTGATCTAAACAATTTAACTGCAGCTGAATCCCATGAAGCTTTTACTGTTCACATAAAACTACTTGCACTTTACAGGCATTCCACATTTGCATGCATTAGCCAATGCCCATTCTGTTCAGGTTTTCATTTCTGCAAGAGAACTTTTAAAAGCAAGAAAAAAGAGAAGTTTTAATTAAAATAAATTTTGGAAAACTCATTCTGTCTTTCATTTTGCTAAACTACCATCAAAACATACCTTCTAGTCTTAAGTCACAATCTAAATGTTGACATCCTCCTTTAACTGAGTAGAGCACCTAGGAAGCAACAGACACCCACAAGCACTTACGTATATACACTTTTCCACATTTGTTCTGGATAAAAACACACCCTTTGAGCAGCATTTTCACATGTCATGTGGTTTGCAATAGCCTTTTGAGCACATTTAAAAGCTGCATTTTTTTTTCCCCCAGTAGGGAAATTTATCCTGAATTTAAATTACTGAAATTAGATTTGAGAGGGGTTTTTAAGTTGTGGGGTTTTTTGTTTGTTTGTTGGGGTTTTTTTGCTTGTTTGTTTTTGTGTTTTTTTTAAAGTAGAATGGGAAAGAGACTCTTTTTATTTCCCTCAGACTTCCCAGATCTATGCTTGCTAAAATGCTGAAAAGCATTAGGGCAAGGTATACAGGACTGGTTTGTAACAAATATCGTTCAGTAATTCCACCTGAATTCCACTTAGGCACAAACCAGTGCTAGAGCCAAAACACAAAGTTATTAGCTGGCTGGACTGCTCTAACACAGCCAGCTCTACCTTAACTCATACATCCATGCTTGCTGTTTTATGCTCTTGAAAGTTATTTTTATGTTTTCTTTTTAAGTCAAGCTATTCATCTTTTTTTTTTTTTTTTTCTGTGAATAGATTGCCAAACCCAGTACCCTAGCTGGTAACATTTCCCATTAAGGTAACATTAATAGAGATTTTATGAATAATTAATATATGATTAACAGAAATGGCTTTTCCCCTAATAAATTATGGTAATTTATGCTATAATGCATTCTCAGAGCAAGCTGAAATAATATTATATGCTCCAATATAGATGTGCTTTAAAAAAAGCTTTCTTCTAACACAGTATTAATTATTTTGAGCTCATTTACACATGTCTGCAGAAGCCACGAGTAACTTATCTCACAGTAGTTTATTAGAAAAGTGTCTGTTTGTCAGTAATTAATAACATTACAAAGCATTAATATACCTTTTCGAATCTCTAGGGTTCCCCAAACTGCTTAGAAATTATACATACGAAGTGTCTGGAAGAGACAGTATCACACTGCACGGGTAAAAGGAGGAGAGATGGATAATCACAGGAAACACAGGCACCTTTAATTCCCCCTTCCCAGAACAGATCTGAGCTCTGCAACACAGCACTGCACACCAGAGCACTCCAACAGCTACTGAACCTCTGAGCTACAGGAATTACATATGTCAAATCTGTAAACCAACATCTTATCTTAACTATGCAAATTCCAAAAGTTACCTAGTTTTAAGGCATTAATCACTAGCACACAAAGGAACAGTGTCTTCAGATATTTCTGTGGTCAGCTATTAGGGTCTTGGGAATAAGTCTTACAAGGAGCAGCTGAGGGACTTGGGGGTTGTTTAGCCTGAAGAAAAGGAGGCTGAGGGGAGACCTTACTACTCGCTACAACTACCTGAGAGGAGGCTGTAGAGAGGTGGGTGTTGGTCTCTTCTTACAAGTTATAACCAATAGGACAAGAGGAAATGGCTCAAGTTATGCCAGGGGAGACTTAGGTTAGACACTAGGAAAAACTTCTGCACTGAAAGGGTTACCAAAGTATGGAACAGGTTCCCCAGGGAAGAGGCTGAATCGCAGTTCTTGGATGTGTTTAAAAATCATCCAGACAGGGTGCTCAGGAACATGGTTTAGAAGTGGGCTTGGTAGATTTTGATAATGGTTGGACTTGATGATCTTAAACATCTTTTCCAACCAAAACCATTCCATGATTCTATTTATTTCTAGAGGATAAATGAGGCTGTTCGCGTTCAGAGGGGAAGATACGTATTTGTAACCTAATTTTAATTTTTAATCATGTGTAGAATCTGAGCATTTTAATTTTGAAGCACACAGTATGTTAAAAACAAGACTCAGTATCTGGGTATGGATTTGATAATTTCCTTGCTCTTTCCATCATCTCTGTGTGTTCACATTGGGCCTTACAAGCAATAGATGACTTTGGTCCCGCTCTGTGTTTCTGCTGACAAAACAGAGCCCCGGCGAGGACAGCCCTCATGAGAACCTCTTGGAGCAGTTCCTTTCCTGGTGGTACTGCTCTTTGAAGCAAAGGTGAAATGGAACTGTCCTCCTCCTGGGATGATTTCAGCACCAAGACCCTCCTTCTGTGTAGTAGAGAGGAACAAGGATAAATTTTGAAGCAAGCATCTCTTGCAGACCCCTATTGATGGGGCAGCGAAAAGAGTCAGGATCTTGTGCCTGAAGGGGCTGTCACCCTGCATGCACCAGCACAGCTGCATCAGCAACGTGGCTTTCCCCAAACCAGACTCTGCTCTACGCCAAGAGACAAGAGGTGGCCTAGCTCTTTTGCTGCCCTGCACAACTGATGTCTCTCTCTCCCCTTGCTAAATTGGTTCTTTGTCTACGTACAGAATTGATTCCTCTACTAACACACAGCAGCAACTGATGAACACATACCGCAATCTGGTTCCACCAAGATGAGATAAAATGATAAAATTTATGAGCACAGCATGTGGCATAGTTTGCTGGTCTGCAAGAAGGTGGACTGATAAAAGTTTTAAATGTCAATGCAATCACTTTGGGGGGCGTTTATGCTATATCTGTTAGGTAGGTTTGGAAAGTGCTACAAGTCCGTGAACCCTAATTTATGAAAACATCGAAACTTATGAACTGTTTAATAAGTAGTGTCTAAGCAGAAGTCAGCCTTAATTTCCGTTTTGTAACACAACTAATCCTCCCTTCTCACCAGAGCAGCTCAGTTACCGTATTTTACTATTTACTTGGAAGATTCTGAAAATCCAGAAAAGAGAAAAACTGCAGTTATACGGTAGTTAACATTATAAACCATTAAACAATGAAGGCATCACCATGATCAGCAATACAGGTAATTGTGAGTCTTATAGGAAGAAAGAATCAAGAATTTCCTGAAAACCATAACTACAGTAGGATGAGACTGAATTCAAAATCAGCCTTCAAAAATGAACAGAACTGCTTCAAAAAGGAACAGGAGTACTTCATATTTAGAGTAGCCAGTTTTCATTGCACTTCCAGGATTTTCCTTTCTTAAATTAAAAGACAATTAGATTGTGCAACAACAGAACACTAGAATAAATAATTCAAACGTCTGCAGCTCCCACTGACAAAACCAATTTTGTACCATGGCTTAGCAAATAATGACACATTGAAAAGATTTATCACATTTTAAAAATTGTATTAAAGCATCAACAGCCACATAAAATCGGGTTAAATAATTTGTCATTTAGAAAATGTACAACTCAAAGAAAACTTAAAGAGAGTACTTTTTTAACTCTAAAACCTTGAACAAACACTGTTTCAGTCATCTGTAGATAAATCCTGCAGCTCATATTCCACTATGTATTTATATTTTTACTGGTGTTCAGATTAACATACTACTACTCTAAACTTCTTCACCAAATAAGAGTTGGTGGCTTTTAGAATTAGCTTTAGGCTTGTGTGGCTATGCATTAGGAGGTTTAGTCTCAATAGTCACATGCAGTGTATATAGAGGCATTTTTATGCATCAGATGGTCACTGTTTATCTGGTACTCTGGTCTAACTGGTTTACGGCTAGTTTAAGCAGTTAGTATGAACATCTAAAACTCCCTAGAGTTACAAGGGGAAATGTACTTTGAGCGCTCAATGATGTTAGGTAGCATTTGGGACAACTGGGAATGTGGATGTTGA